ACCGAAGAACAGGGTTCAATTCCCTGCTGTGGCGAAATATTCTTTTTGTTTCATAATTACAAATATATTTGCAAGAAAATGATGCATGAATGACTCATTCTATATGGTAATTGCGTAAGATTAGAGGTGAAAAATAAAATTGTTTGTATTTATATTTATATATGCATATATCTTTCGAGTTTTTTAAGGAGAATAATATTCTAATCAGTAACTCGAAGCTCAAAGAAACATGATCAGATCATATTTATTATATCGATCATCTGATCATTGATATAGTTCTGCTCTACGTCGATGTACAATGTTTTTGTAGAATAAATTTATTTATTTAAATCATATTGATAACCAACTGATATAGTATGCATGTTCAGTTTCCTCCAGCAGTTCTTCATGAGCATTGACATATTTACCAGTCTAGACCGTCGGATTGAACTTTATTTTATAATCATATTGTTTTCATCGACTGTTACAGGTAGTTCCACCACCGAATTGAACACAAGTTTTTAACGCATAAGAACAACTTCTTACTGCATGGGCTTCTCCTATAAGTCAAAAATATGACAATGAACATTTACGTCTTTTTATATAGTACGTTTTCTTTGTGATTGGTGCTAAGATGAGAGCAATGTTAAGTAAAACATAGATCACTGTTTGACATGCTATTATGCTTATCAAATATTAGTAATAATTTAATCTAAATCGTGAACATCTCCTCATTCGTATATTGTGTTTCGAGTAAATCAAAATTGATTACATATTATTCTTGAAATGCCATTTCTATCAGAATATGGAAGACATATTAACGCTTTTATCGTCAACAATACTGACTTCGTTCTAGAGTGTCTTACATGATAAATTGTTCTGTAAGTGATCTCTAACTACGATACTTCATCAAACCTAAAAACAATATCAACCGTTGAGAGCGTAGAGTGACGAGAATCATTGCATATGCAAAGAACAAAGAAGTAATGCTCGAATATTAAGAACAAGCATCGGTAGCTCAATGGTAGAGTACTCGATTACCACTCGAGCGATTTGGGTTCGATCCCCAGCAGATGCATTTACTTTTTATGACGACATTCGAAGCTTATGTTTATGAATGATGCAATACGATTCAGTTATTGCAAGATAAGCTTCATACATTGAAAATATGATGCAATACACAATTGAAGAACAGGATGATGTTGTAATCATGCGAAATTCATAGACGGAGCGTACTGAGGCATCTGAAGCAGAGAAGAACGAGGGGCGTAACAAGAGATATCGAATCCAACAACACTTTTGAGGTGCCCAAAAACTTCTTCAAGCTTTCTGAAAAATTTTCATAGGATTTTTACGACTTTTTCAGAAAGTTTTAGAGGCGGTTTTCAGAAATTTTCGAAAACTTTTGAAAGTTTTTCAATTTTTTAAAAATTTTTGGGAACTTATCGTAAATTTCAAGGCAGCAAAATTGACGTTTACAAAGATTTAGCAGATGGTGACTTCTAGACTTTGCCCGCTTGCAACAACCATTATTGCACCATCAGTAATTTCAAAAGCAGGGGATGTAGTTAAAGTAAATTTCGAAAGCAGGAAGGACGCTACAACTCCACGCCTCCTACGTCGATACGTCTCTGCAAGTAGCTTTAGGAGAAGCGTACCGATACACGCCATCAATGTGATGTTTATGACGTTGGACTTTACGTGATATGTTGTTTTGAGAGCTATCATACACTGAAATATTTCTGAATACTTTTATATGCTAATAAAATTTATTAGCAACTGTTTTAGAACGAAAAACAAAAAATCCATCTTAATAAAAACAACTGTAGTCAAGGGGTTAAAGACAAAGTTGAATAGGTATATACTTTGTAAAATAAATGAAAATGATGAAGAAGAAGTAGATCTGTGTATAGTTTTGTCTTCATATTTTAACAATACTTATCTATAGATATTCTGTACTAATCAGTTGCATTTTTTTAAAATAGCTTGAATTGATAAATTTAAGACTAACAATTGAGATAATTACTAATCGCATAGAGCTATTGAATAGAATATCTTACTGCTGATTCTCTTTCGTTAAAATACATATTCATATAAAAATAACGCAAGTAGAATGTAAGTATTTTGTTTACCTCATTAGTGCGTATATCTGACATGATTATAGATTTTGTTTTAGATTATATGTTGTTATTGTTGCTCTTGTTATTTATAGATGTTCATCTATGTCATTCATCAACTTACCTTAAAGTCATTTTGTACGCGAAGTGTGCCCATGATTATACATTCTTAATTTGACAGATACTTATAAAAACAATTAAATAATATGAAAAACGACACTATAAAACTAATGGAGCATTTGAAAGGATAATTAAAGTGATCGTATCAATTGTAGCTTTCGTTAATTCTAATAAACTAATCTATAAGAGCACAAAAAAAAGATATATTTTTTTATTTAGGATGAAATTTTAAACTGTGTGATAATTCAGAAAAAATGTGGAAAGAAACAGTTTTGGGACGTCAAAAAATGAGAATTCTTCTAACTACAATATTGTTTTGAATGTGGAGTACTTCCAAGAAAAAGAATAAAATAATTGAAAGTTAATTTGGTTGAAATAATTAATATAATTCTGCACTATTTAAAGCAATTCTAACATTGAATCCACCAGTAACTAATACTTTTCCATTTGATAATACAGATGCTGTGTGATCTTGTCGTGCATTATTCATGCTACCGGTAGTTTTCCAAGTATTTGTTGATGGATCATACAATTCAGCATTATTTAAAGTATCAAAAATACTATTACTATTCAACCCACCAGTAACTAAAACTTTTCCATTTGATAATACAGATGCTGTGTGAAAGAATCGTGCCTTAGTCATGCTACCAATAGTTGCCCAAATATCTGTTGATGGATCATACAGCTCAGCATTATTTGAAGCACCATCAATACTATTTCCACCAGTAACTAATACTTTTCCATTTGATAATGCGGATGCTGTGTGAAAGAATCGTGCATTACTCATGTTACCAGTAGTTGTCCAAGTGCCTGTTGATAGATCATACAGCTCAGCATTATTTGAAGCAGCATCAATACCATTTCCACCAGTAATTAATGCTTTTCCATTTAATAATACAGATGCCATGTGAAAACCTCGTGGACTAGTCATGCTACTAGTAGCTGTCCAAGTACCTGTTGATGGATCATACAATTCAGCACTTTTCAAAGCACTACCCCTATTGAATCTACTAGTAACTAGTACTTTTCCATTGGATAATATAGATGCTGTGTGAAAGAATCGTGCACTATTCATGTTACCAGTAGTTGTCCAAATGCCTGTTAATGGATCATACAGCTCAGCACTATTTAAAGCATCATTAGCATTGGGTGTACCACCAGTAACTAATACTTTTCCATTCAATAATACGGATGCTGTGTGAGAGAATCGTGCATTACTCATGTTACCAGTAGTTGTCCAGGTAGCTGTTAATGGATCATACAGCTCAGCACTATTTAAAGAACTACCACTATCATAAGCCCCACCAGCAACTAAAACTTTTCCATTTAATAATACAGATGCTGTATGGTCTCCTCGTGCAACATTCATATTACGGGTAATAGACCATCCTAAATAGAAACATTTGGTTATATTCATTCTCGAAAAACTAACTCTCGTGGAACTCTCAAAATGATGAAATCATGTGCGGAAAGTTTTAGATTTTGTAAAATGAAAATCATTTTTTACTTTTGATACTAACGTTTTTGAAGTTTTTGGGAAATGCAAAAATTGTCAAATTGGTGCTAAAAAATCGTTCTTTATTGCGGTACGAAAATAAGTTTCACTTTTTTGATAAAGAATCGTATGCGAGGATGACATATGAAAAAAGTTTGTATTTTATACTTGCCGTTACAATTTTTATAAGAATTAATGCACTTTCCATTATACACAGCTTCTATTGATGATAGTCACTTACTGAAACTCTCCAAGTAAAGGCAAGCGACCGAATTCGCGAAGTTTTCGATGAATTTTTATACTAAGATCAAAAAACGGTTCTTCTTTCTTTTTCCGGTTCGTTTCTTACGAGTTTTTGCAGTTGAAAACGGTGTCCTAATACGGTTTCGATTACAGCAACGTTCTAGACTAAGGAACGGGGTGATTTCTCATGACTAACGAATATGGACCGCACCTTATCGTGTCCGAAACCTGGACTCTGACTTATGAAGGGAGCAGAAGAATGAATCAAAGGTGACGGATTAACTAATAAATAATACGCAAATACAGCTATTTATATTTAGACACGAAACAGAAAGAAGGAGGTTTGACTGGCATTTCCGTGCGAAAAAATACCGTGCGCGACAGATATGCGTACGCTCGTTTAAGACAAATGATTTTTTTCTATTCTCTTTATAATTAAAAGTAGAGTATGCAGTGAAATCAAACGAAGAAAAAAATTAGATTTCGTTGCATCGATGTCAGCAAAACCACGTAAGCTTTGATCGTGATGAGAAATAGCGAATGTGGGGATCATTACCAGAGACCGGCGGTATTGCAAAAATTTGATACCGTATCGTACCGTGTACCGCTTTCATCGGTACTCTACCGTACCGCTTAATTTTCTTTCAATACTGTACCGTACCGTTACCGTATGAAGTTTATAGTATACCGTCTCGCGAAATACCGTACCGTCAGAACAATTTTTCTAGCTTGTTTTTAAACCGGCTATTATCATTTGTATTCCATATATAGATTAAATTTTTGAAGAATGTTGACAACAAATACAAACTATGAGCACATCAATAAAAACAATTTCATATATAAGCTTGAACAAGCGTGACGCGATGACGTTTTGCCCACATTTTGATCAGTTATTCTGCTTTCATATATCAGCTAAAAAATTCACTCTTTCGTTGGAAGATAGACTTTTGCCTTCCCAACAATATCAGAAAATGTGAATTTGTTTGGATGAGTTGTAAGAATATCAGATCAAGAATACCGAGAATAACACGATGACGAAAAAGGATCATAAAATTGAGAGCGAGACGATTATTCTTATTTATTCGTCCAATATATCCTATATTAAAAACTATGTTTCACTAAGGTTATCAGCTAACACTTTGAGGTATTCAAACGAGAAAAAAATTTCAAAACATATGTTTCATCTCTATGGAAAAACCGCTTGCATGAATGTAACGCGATGACGCAGCTAAATCTTTTGTATGTTGTTGTTACCATAAATAAAAATGTGGGAAACGAGATTTCATTTTAATACTTTGCTTCATATAGTAAGGTATTTACTAGCATGTTCTCCGTCAGTCGAAGCTGCTTTAAATTTATTTTGTACTAATTCGACCCGTAAGATGTGGCAATGACGTGATCTAGACGGATATTCCATATAACTTTTTGTTACGGACTCGAGAAATGTGTTAAAAGATGAAAGATATAATTAATCATATGTGCTAACAAAAATCAAAAAGTTTTTGATACATTTCGAGATGTGATACGGATAGTGGTGATCGAAAGCTCTTAAAAGTATGGCTAAAAATTTCCACTTTTGAGGTGACACGTTACGCGTACAAGCTGATATATAAACAATATTTAAATAGACATACAAAATATACAATAGATGTCTCTGAAAAACATTACCAAAAGACTTTTTGCTACGACACGGGAGAGTGGTATAGCTATGTGATACCGCATACCGTCTCGTACCGCGGCTTATCGATACCGTCCCGTCCCGCCCTACTTCTTGTTTTTTCAATACCGTCTCGTCCCGAGACGGTACGGTACAGTATTGATATCGCATCCCGCCGGTCTCTGATCATTACATCTTCGTTTCTTCTTAAGATAACGATTGAATCACTCATGACAAGATCATTATTCTTTTAATGTAACTTTTAGGTAGATATAAAAAACTGTTGGATACAACACAACTACTTATATCTGATTTAAAACTACCACTTGAGAAAATCGGAAAACATTACTCTGAAGCTTACCTGACTGCTGAGTTGTAGTCGGTGTTACTAGCGATGTTGTTGTTGTTAGTAGTGGTGATGATTTTGTGGCGGTGGTACTAGTTTCTGATTTCTTCGGTGCAAAAACGACGAAGTTTAATACCAGAGCAAGGATAACGGCAAAAAGTATTAAAACAATAACGGAAATGCCGATTATTTTAACCCAATGACGGTGCCACCATTTGTATACTCCATTAATTACAGTAACAAGCTTACTGTGAACTTGATTGGTGTGCATATTATGTTCCAGGTGAAACTTAAACGAAGAAAAAAGAACACACGATTGTTCAAAGCTACTATCTGTTTGCTTATTACTCTCACGTAACTAATAGAAGATAACTGATATTATCTCCAACATCAAAGGTGTTGTTATACTCTTACCTTAAGATAATACATTTTACATGTGGGTCTGGGGGTGAGTGTAGGGTGGGAAGGTATGGGTGATGAAGACAGTGGTCAGATATGCACCAACACCCACATCCTTAACGAATGTTCCTGTATGTGCACCTTAGCCACACTAGAAACGCCAATTACTGAAAACTATGTGAAACTACATTGAAGAGTTTCCAAAAAATTCAAGATTCTATTAGAAAATCATGGAGTTTTAAAATCAGCATTGTACTTTGAAGAAAAACTAGAAAGCGAATCAGGTAAGTTATAAAATACTCGATGATACTGACTGAGAATCATAGATCTAACTGGATCCTAAAGGATCTTATTGAGCAGTTTTATCCTAAATATTCGTTCTTATCTAAAATAGATTTCAATGAAATCTGTGTTATATATTTCATCCTGAATTCGATGCAAAATATTGCTGCTTAGTATTTTATGAACTCTGCAAGGGAATAATGTACACTTCAACTCAAAGTGTTATCACATGAGAGTAAAACTGTAGGGAACTTTTGTTAATTACGAAAACTGTCAAATTCGAGCTGGAGAATATTCAGTTTCATTGAAATCGATGAAATATGGAGATAGCCTTCTACATAGAATATCTATGAATGTTTTGAACTATTCCCGCGATATCCGATGAAAATAAATTTGATTCAAAGTCACTGACACAAACTGAAGACTTCCAACTGAATATATTTCTTCCAGTCTATTCATTCTCATCATTTTTTTAAAATAAGTACGATATTTTTCGTCGATACACAACTATAGATTATTTATGAGACAACTGATAAAGTTTAGAGATATCAGAACAATCGAGTTTTACGACTAGAAGCTTTCAGATAAAATAATACTTATTTCAAATTTCAAACTTTTGAGCTATCGTTTAATTTCTAGTTTCTCTTTTATTTCAATTCAAGTATTATCTCAGTAAACTACCAGTTGATAGACAAAAAATAATATATTGTTGTTATGTATTATGAGATTCCTTAAAAATCAATAGTGCAACGATTATCATCACTATAAGTTAGAATAAATATGCAGTCTCAAACAATAAAACTATTTCTTACCGTGTAATGTCTCGTAGAAAATGAAATAGTAAAATGTTGTATACTCCACCTTTATAGCCCTGTTCATCGAGAAGCAGACAAATTTATTGCTGTCGGTTGTAAAACAATAAAAAAAACTTTTATCTATTCACTTCTATTACAATGACGAAGTTGGTAAAATTCATTAAAGGACCAAAAAAAGAAGAAGAAAGGAAGAAAATCTTCAAGTAGCAAGTTGTAGGTATGGATAATGTTGCGAATGAGATATCAACATATTACCTTTACGCTCCTCTCAAACACAATATCCAGTCAAATGAAGAATTCGATTGTGTAATTGACCATTTAAACCAATAAAAATAATAATTTGATGAAATATAACCACATGCACCAATTTCAATCTAAACATTTAATCCAGTTCGTTCACTCAAAGTTAAAATTGGTTCATAAAGAACTACAGACATATATAGAATCTTAATAATGCATCATTTTATAGAAAAAAGAAAAACTATTTGATTTTCTATTTACTGTGATTAAAATACGAATTGTTAATGAAAAACGTTGTTCAAGATACTATTATTCATAAAAAATTATTGATTTCTAACAGAATATATATTTAAAATACGTACTGCATAAATACTAACACTTCTAATTTGATGAAATTTGGTAACAAAAATTTTCGTTGTACTATATGTTGCTTAGAACCATGAAAATAAATCGTTTTGTAACATACTGGAATAGACTAACATTGTTCCATAATAATATATTTCTACAAGTACACCAAGTAATGATGCTGCAGAAGCTATACTTCCCATTGAACTTATTACTGTTGGTAAAATCTATTATAAGATAAAAAATATATATTTATTCGACATTAACTTAACGAAAATGAATTCACCTTCATTCGACCATCAGCAACAAGAAATTCTTTGGTAGATGTATGTTTTAATTTTATAGATCCTTGATAAATTCTAATAGCACCCGAGAAAACTAAAATATTAATTAAATGAAAAATTAATTTTATTAAAGTTAATATATCGTACTCAAAAATAGAACAAAAACAGCATAATCAATCCAACTGACATCTATCTAAAATAAATTCGTGTTCAAATAATATGACAAACATTTTTGTCTGTTCTTTAGTTTTAAAGAGATAATATTTAAATATTATTTTATCCTTGAGGTTTGCTTTGTTGACTTGTATTTCATATTTCT